TATAGTTGTCTTAATACTAAACTGATACAGTGTAACAGGTTTATTTTAAAGGAATACAACAACCAATGAAATATCAAACTAATAAATTTAAAAAAATAATTATTTTAGATACATTAGGCGCCCTCCTTGTATGTAGGCGTTCGTCCAAGCGCCTAGGCGCCCGCCTAAGTCTCTAGGCGGGCGCCTAGTGCGCAAAACATATGGCGTTTGACAACTATGATTTATTCCACTTTCATATTTCATCCATCCAAGTATCCAACCATTGTATGTTTTGTAATTTGTATCATTCAAATTTAAATGAAATAAAATTCCTATTTTTCTTCCAATTTGTTATTCCATCATTCTTATTTTGTTAAGTATTTGTTTCATTTATGTGTTAGATTTCTCATTTCTCATTTCTTAATTTTTCAAATAGTTCCCAAAGCTCAAAGGAAAGTTAAATATTTTAGTTTTACACCTTTACTTAGAAAAGAAATCAAAATTTTCAAAATAAAAAAACAACAAAAGTCAAAAAATCAGTCTAGCCCAGTTCGACCCAGGCCCAAGGCCCACCCTGTGGCCCAGCTTGGCACGGCCGAAGCCCATGGCCCAGCCTACAGCCCGGAACAAGCCCATACGGGCCTAGGCCGTGGGCCGTGTCGGGCCGACCCCTAAATTTTTCACCGAGGAGGGTGGCACGGCCCGCACTTTGCACAGACTGCTCGCAGGGCGTGCCGTGCCAGCCCTCCATGGCCCACTTTACACCTCTACTTGCACATGAAAGATTACGGCGCACTTTACACCTCTCTCCTTCTAGCTCCTTCTCTTGTGCTTCCTTTTTCAAGGCTTTTAACTCAACCTACTTTCAGCTCTTTGCAATCTTTTCCTAGGTTGGAGCTTTTTGTTAGGAAGTTTTCTATGAAAGAATTAATACTTGTGACCTACTCCAAAGAAAAAGACCTAAGTGGTGCTTATCCCCTCAATGGTGTGTCCTATGTAAAGCCAATGGTGTGACTTGCTATCACTTATTAATCTCTTATCCTTTTGTTGTATGTATTTGGAAAAGGTTTTTCTCTTTGTTTGGGTGTAGATCGAATCCCCCAACAGATGTGCAAAGACTAATAATTTTCATTTTTTTTATGAATGACTAATAATTTTCATTTAGCCAAAGAAAAAGGGAAGAATCATGTGGAGATGTACAAAGGGCTGCAATAAGCTAGGCTATATAAGAACAAAGAAACTAAGGAAATTTCTTAGAAAAGGAGAGAAGAAAATAAGCTATTCTTGAAAATATTATGATTAGAGTGGCTCATTGGTTGAAATCTTTGGAAACCTTCTATGACATTATAGTAGATGGCATCCTTAGAAATTGGAAAGAAGTGGTTGACTTAAAAAGAATGTCATCAATCACTTTGGTCTCCACCGGAAAGTGGGTTCATTAAACTAAACTTTGATGGAAGCAAC